TAGTGGGATTCAAAAAAATTTACTACCAGCTCTGTGGACATGGCTTGGTAGGCGTGGCAGGGAAAGGATACTGTAAAATCTCCAGTCAGCGATGGTATTTGCCGGTTCTCCGAACTATTCAAAATTTCCGCTATCAGTTCTCCAGAACTGATCAGAACCTGCTGAATACCACCTCTGCATTGTATATTGCCATCGCACGATGGAGCCTTTGTTATGCATGTAGAAATAAACTATAAGGAAGTAACTTAGTTAGAAAATTAGCAAATGTGGAGTAATTCATACTGTAGTCAATGGTAATGTAACACCCATATTTCTCTGGATTTAAACAGCTTGTGTGTTTCTATGTTCTAGTTCTTGCCCAAGAAAACATTGTCAAAAGTGTTTTTTATGTGCTTCACAGCTCTTAATAAATTCTGCCGTGATAAAGGAGAGGGATGGATCTGAATTGAGATGGGACAAGAGTGACAAGAGTGCTATTTTTTCTCCCAACACTTTTCATGACCGCCTTTTTAAATAATCAAATATTCTGCCAATAATCAGCAAGAAAGTAATAGTGTTTGTCACACTGCATTAAAATTTGTTATTTGTTTTTGCATTTGCATTTTAATTTTGGTTTGTTGAATAAGTTATAATAGCAATAGCCATAGCGCTGAGACTTATATACTACTTCATAGTGCTTTCCAGCCCTCTTTTAGTGGTTTACAGAGTCAGCATATTGCCCCCCCAAAAATCTGGGTCCTCATACCAACCTTGGAAAGATGGAAGGCTGGTTTTATTCATGCATAATACTATTCCATAAATCATGACATACAAGCCACCAAGATTAAGTTCACTGTGTTAAGCTAAGCATTTCTCCTTAATCAAAAGAATTAAAAAATCCCAGTGATATTATTTGGAGGAAAACTCTTAGAGTTTGATCATGTTTCCATCAGTAAGAAGGAGTACAAAAAAAACCCTTAGTCTATGCCAGGGTGGTTGGTATTTTACAGCCTTATTCCATACAATGCACAGAAGAGCTTGGCCAGTGGCCCACATGGGTTGAAGAAGACATTTCATCTTCAACAACTATGCCACCTTTTGTGCTGTAGAATTCTGTAGGATTCTTTAAGTAGATATCATGATGGGAAGGGTTTTAAAAGAAAGAATGGGTTAATGTCACTATTAAAGAGCCAGTTTGGTTTAATGGTTAAGGTGCTAGCCTAGAAACCATGAGATGGTGAGTTCAAGGCGTGCCTTAGGCATGAAAGATAACTGGGTGGCCTTGGGCCAGTCTTTCCTTCTCAGCCCAACCCACCTGACAAGTTGATGTTATGGGGGGGGGAAGGAGGGAGGGGTATTAGATATGTTTACCACTTTGAGTTACTTCTAAAAATGTAATAAAGGTAGGATAAAATTGAAATAAATAAATTGTTGGCTTTAAAATTAGATGTGTTTATTAACAAAATGGAAAAGATAAAAGGAACAGCTTGAACATGCATTAATTAATTCATAGAGATATGAATAGGTGGAAATGGATTACTGTATTAATGTCAGGCGCAAATAACCAGGAGCATTTGAAGAGTTCAAAGCACAGAAGAGTTTATTATTGCTACCTATATACAAGAATGTATAGTCAAAGCTAAACTGAAGCTAGATAAAAAAATCAATAGAATTCATGGGGAACTGGACTTGAGTAGCTTGTGGCAACGCAATGGCTCCAAGCTGATGACACATTTAACTCCACCTTTCAGCTCAGCCTACTTTTCTCCTACATTTCCACATTTTCACCCAACTGATTATAAGAATCTGTGCATGTTAAATCTGTTTATGCATATGAAGTCTGTTTATGCAATTAGTTAGGTTCCCCATAGTTTTACCTTGACAGTCAGCTTCGGAATTAACAGCAAAGGACAACAAGTAGTAGAATTCTTTAGAAGGGGTTCCTTCTACCCTCTTATCCCATCAAGAAACTACTAGAAGGGCTGAGGGATTTTTCCCTCCCCCCACTGTCTTCTCAATATTAAACAGCTGCATCTAGACCCTGTGGCACTCCTGCCTAAGAAAGATCCCTCTTCCCTTCTCACTAGCAATCTTTTTAAAGGAATGCCATGGGTGCATAACCATTTTTGCTCTTTTGTCACTTGTGATATTTTAATTATTGTTGCATATTTATTTGTCTATTTATTTGTCTGTTTTGCTACTGTTGCTCCTATTTTTGTGTTATATATTTCTGCCCTACTGTCACTTGTTATAAAGTGCTTAGACTATGCAGATAATCTTCAGGATGCAAATATTTTAAATAAGTCTTGTGGATCAATCTTTCAGTCCTGCATCTGCTGTGGAGGGCTGGGGATGGAATGAGGGACAATTTGTTTTGCTAATGTGTCTTTCCTATGGGCAGAAAGATGACCGTGGAATAGACAAATGGACTTTTGAAAGGCAATGGGATTGGGGGAGGCCTGAAAAAGCTCAGTTATGTGAGTGGAAGGTTCTTTGAATAGCTTTATTTCAATCATTTGTTTAAGAGCTTTCTATGAAAAAGTCACAAAAATAAATCATGAACAAGGATTTCCGGTTTGTCGGCTTTGCGAGCGGTAGGGATTCGCGAAGCTGCGCGATCCCTGCCGCGCTAGCCGTTTTTGGGGCTCCGACCCGAAAGGGTGCGGAGCAAGGCTGCCCTGCAGGGGCAGCTGAAGGTAGGGGGATCCGGGAAAGGGTTTGGGGGTGCTGCAGACCCCCTCCCTAGCCGGCAGAACCTCCTTTTACCAAGACGGTGCAGCGGCGGTCCGTAATGGCCGCCACAAAGAAGCCGGCAGCTGGGCAAGTATGCGCTGGAGGAAGAGGAGAAAGTGAAAGTTTTCTTGGTTGACCCAGGACTCTAAGATATATTTAGTTTAATTCCTGAAAATGATGGCTTTTTGGATGATTCTTTCCACAAGAGGAAATAAGCGGCAATTCTGAGGTGCTGAAAGGAAAGTTTACTCTCCCCCCCGACGGAATTAATAAATGGATATTGAGAAACCTGTTTTTCTTTTTCAGGTAAAACTAGCTTTTTGGGATAAGTCGGAAGGGAGAGGACAAAAAATATATCTATTTGGTTGGATTTTGTTGGAGGAGATGCCTTAAGGATTTGAAAACAGAAATAAAATCTCAATAAGGCTTCAAAACACAGATCTGAACTTTCTTTTTTTCTTTGTCTGATACTACCCCTGGAAGAGAAAGGGGGAATTCTGGCTTGGCTTGGATTGATTGAGGATTGTGGACTTTGGGGTTGTCTTGTTTTTTCTTTTGGAATATTTTGGTTGGTGTGAAAAAGAAAAGAAAAGATCTATAATGGCTTTTTCTTTGGAGGAACTGAGGGATGAATATGAGCAAACAAAAGCAGCCTGTAAAGATGGTATGGAAAAAGCTTTTCTTTTTTAAAAAATGGCGTTGGTTAACTATGAACAGACAATACAGATGGAAGCTGAAGAGCAACAAGAAGAAGATGAAGACGCCATCTTCAATGAATCCCAAAATTCATCTAAGAAAGAAGGAAGGAAGAAAGCGAGGAAAATGAAGGATTTAAGATCTAAAAAAACATTTAAGAAAGAGAAAAATATGATGCAAAATAAATACAATGATAGCAAACAAGAGAAAAAGGGAATACAACAGAGAAGGGATGCCGGCAAGACAGAGGTTAGAAGAAGGGGGGGTAGGAAGACTTGGTGGGGGAAGAAAGAAAGGGGAAAGGCGGAGAAAAGCCACAAAGTTTTAAAATTAGATGGGAAAAGAGGAATCCTTTTTAGGGATAATGGGTAAAGCATAAATTTTTTTTTAAAAAAGATTCTGCAAGGTACACAAGATGGTATTGTAACATTCGTATTAGAAATAGAAAATTAGAATGGCTTAAGAGTTAATAAGAAATTAAAATGTTGAAATGTTTAATAATGATTGATTTTTAAAATGTAATAAAATATTGAAGTGAAAGGCAATGAGAATGCTATAAGATTTATTATTTAGATTTATTATTTAACTACGTATTTAGGAGGATATTATGTATTTAAACATTTTTGATTTTTTACTCTGTTTTTATTGTTACTAAAAGTAAAAATTAGTAGATAGAATGTACCAAGCAGAATCAAATTGGGTATTAGGTGTTATTTTAAATGTTAATCTAATTAATTTAGGGAGAGGATAGAAAGGCATCATACTCTGATTAGTGATTTCAGGAGAAATTCTTTTTTTTTTTTTTTTCATTATAAGGAATGAGATAGAGGGATAATAAAGGATGGGCAAAAGATACAAATATAATGATTTAAATTAAGATGGATTGAATAAGAGAGAATTATGAAGAGTGAAATGTATGGAGAAGTTTATATGGAAGATACAGAATGGTAAATAAAATAAGTAATGATCTGTAAGATGAGCATGAATATAATTAAAGCCCATATAAAGAGAGGTACCTGGGGCCAAGTTACTTTACTAAAAGATTTTTTATATGTATGTTTGTGTTTGTCTATGTCTTTGAGAGTATTGGTGAAACCTTGTAGAAACATAGAAAGAGAGTGATGATAATCAAGTCAGAAAGAAATTGATGAAATAATACAGAAATGTATTGTATAAGATAAGGTTTTATCTGACTTGTTAAATCTATAATGGAAAAAGGTTCAAAAATGTAATGGTTGATGATGATTTGTTTGTTTTTTGAAATTAATAAAACTTGCTTTAAAAAAATAAATAAATAAATCATGAAGTAACCTTATAAAATAAGTATGGTTATTGTGCACACATGTAATGCAACTTACTCCTATCGTCCCTTTTTTGCAGCGTTATCATAACTTTAAAAGAATAGGAACCATTTTATGTCTTTGGAGGGCATTCATAAGGTACTCTAGTGGGGTATAATTCCTTTGTTGAATGTTGGGCAGCATACAACTTTTATTGTAATTATTATCCTGAGATCAGAATACTTCATACATTTATACTTCTCTTTTAGCTTTCACTGTCCTCAACTGTTTTTGTACTTTTTTGTTTTACAGTTTTCTCCTTGTGTTTGGTTGCTTGATTTTGTCGGTATTTTCTACTATTCCTGAACATACGTGGCTTGCCGCTAGTTGCCTCTTTATTCTGGTAAGTAAAATTTATAAACACATGTAAATATTCTGTATCATATATAACATATGCTATTCATGCCAGAAAGAAGTCATGCTTCCAGTAAATGGATGTAAGGTTGTAAATAGAATATCTTTTTTTATTTATAATTATAAATGGGCTATATGTATATAAGTAAGCCTGTGCAATTTATGCAACTCAAATAGAACAGCAATCCCAAATGAAAATTATATTTAACAAAAATATTTGGAACCTCTGTAAACTGATAATCCGAATGAGAAGGAAATTCTGTTTTCTTCAAATGTTCTTTAAAAATAGTAGGATTTCATTGCTACATAACTGATAAAGGAACATCTAGATAAATTTTGTTATGATTATAAGTCTTATCTATGTTGGAGTTCAGTCTCTAAAATGATCTAAAATCTATAGACCTGCTCAATTAAATTGCCTGATATATTTTCTGATAAATTGTCCTATTCATACAAATACTGTGCAAGTAGTATCATTCATCAAATAAAGTATCATCAAGTAGTGTTATTATTCATCAAATAAATGAAATGTGATATTGATACAGCCTTTAAACTGTGGATTAAGTCCAAGAGTAAGTAGTTAAAATAGCATCTTGAGAAGAGTTGTGTCAGATAATCAGAAATAACTGATTTTGTATCCCACCTTTGCAACATTCAACATCCAAAGACTTCTACTCATAAGCGGAATCAATTCCCACTTCCTGACTCCTAACTTATTTCTGGTTATCCTCCAAAACAAATTTGAAAAATGCAAGGCAATGTAATGCTGCCTGATAAAAAATATTTAAATTGGAAACGAAGTTCATTGAACAAGTTGAGCACTTCAGCTATTCCAGATGTTCACTGAAATCTGAACTTTGAACACTAGTCATACCCAGTGACTATTTACAAAGATAGGGAGTAAGGATATCCACCCGAGTATGAACTATAATTTTAATAAGAATGCTGTAAGAAATTGTATCTTGACATTGAATTCTTTGCAAAATATATGCATAATCAGGTCATGCATATATTTTCTGCTCTAAGAAATTCACATAAATAACACTCCTCTTTGTATAAGTATCTTTCCTCATCATTTGAGAATCATTTTAATGTATTTACATTTTTAAAATTCAACTTCTACTGTCAAGAATATTTTATTTATATTTTGTTCAACAGCTTTAAAAGTAGTGATAATAACCCTTGTTATTTTTGTAACCAAAAGTAATCAAATTTCTGAATTGAGAGCAATGAGTATGAACCTAAGTGTTAAAAAAAGCATCTGATTTTTCCATATATTATTATATTAGCCTTTTAGCTTTAAACTAATAGAACCGTGTTTTCCACCCTGATATATTATAGGCAGGTAAAATAAATAAATAAATAAAATACTGATTCTTAAGAAAAAAATTGATAAAACAGCGCAAAAGTATGGCATTTCTTGTATTAATATTTATATATTATTGCAAGAGATCAGTTAACAAAGTTAAAAGAAATGGATGGATAGACAGACGTGTAAAATTTTGGAACAGATTTCTGAATACTGAAAAAATAAACATAGAAATAGGAGGAGATGGGAAAGAGCAGCAGGCCAAATACAAAAATCTCTAACATCCTATCCCTGTTTAAAGTACATACATAAACCTTTGCACCGTTTTCAAAATGTATCTGCATCACATTCAAATTTAGTCTGAAAGTACAGTGGTCTCGTTGGTATATTATGGTAAGCAGATCATTCATTTTTTGAGAAATGCCACAATTCTGTACAAGGTTATAGCATTTTCAAGACTACAGATTTTAAAAGAGTAAAGTACAAAAATCTCCTTCTGACATTATCAAGGCAGTGTGGGTATGACTTCTTTTTTCCCCCCAGGTGATACCTAATGCTCCTACTCATGTTATAAGAGCCAGCTTGGCAAACCTATCAGTATTGGTTGCTTGCTAAGAGATACTATGTGCAATATTTGGATGAACAGGAAGAAATGATCTTACATGGCAGATGCTGTAACAGCAAAAACATCCTTAGTGCCTACATCATTTAGTCTCCTCTGTCAAAAGAACCATGATAACACCTCCAGATTCCTGTAATTTTCAATTTTAGTCCAGTAGGTTTTGTACAATCTAATAATTCTCTAATACTCTATTCTTCCAATCAAGGCATAATTTCTGCTTATAGTGGATACATGCAAATTATCTTCTCTCATCTATCAAATGATAGAATTATTTTTAAAACAGTTCTAAAATCGATAATATTTCCAAAAGCATAGAAAATCATTATTATTTTCTCCTTCCTGTTCCATGTTGTTGAAGAAGATTCCCTCCCTTAATTTTCAGAAGTGCAGTTTGTTTTACTAGATACTTCAAATAAGTGAGATAAAAAAGCAGCTACAGCAACTTATTTGTCGTAAATTAGAATGTTCAAAGTGCTTCAGGAAATGCTGTTCTACAAAACAGTAAAAAAAACAACAACCCAGTCCTGAGAAACAGAGTAATTTTGAAGTGCTTGCTTATGCAATTCATCAAAGCAAGAAACAGTGCTGCAAGTATATTGTGTAAATTAAAAAACTTGAAGTATGGATTTGAGTAAGCTAAAATGTTTAGCCATATTTATACTTCTAGGCCTTTCAACTTGTGAAAACTAAGATTGTAATATTTCAGAACAGACCTTCAGTGTTTAAGCATGGATGACAACTCAATGGAATATGTATCTTGGCAATAAGATGGAATAGTTTAAACTGGTTGAATACATGGAAGTAGTTTTTGAGTAAGGTATTCCCATTAATCGGGTCAATGAACATGTCTAAGAAATGCTGCAAGATTTCTTGTCTTTTTTTTTTTGTAGAATTGAGGAATTAGGATGGCCAGGTAGCCTTAAAAAAATGACCTCAGGAATGTTTACCATTTGATTTTACACACACCACAGAGAGGCACCATCCATATTGGTCAGGTACAGTTGAAAACAATTGGTCTAATGCATCTGAATACTCATGTTAGGAGGTTCATAATTCTACTTCAAGGTAGAATGACTGGGAAGCTGGAAAAAGACTGTATAAACTATTTGCTTTCAGATCAGGATGATAGCATTACAGTATTATGTTCTAGCTCAGGAGTGGGATTCAGTTTTTTTAACAACCAGTTCTGTGGGTGTGGCTTAGTGGTCATGTGACTGGGTGGGTGTGGCCAACTCAACATCACTCATGTCAAGGGGTGCTTCTCCTCGCCTGGCCTCTCATGACAGTGGGGATGCTGCAATGGTTATAAGTGTGAAAAATGGTCATAAGTCACTTTTTCAGTGCCATTGTAACGTTGAATGGTCACTAAATGAACTGTTGTAAGTCAAGGATTACCTGTACAAAAATACAAAAAGCTTCTTTGCTTGCGAAAAGCTGCCCTAAATACCAATCATTAGATTAAAAATACCTGCAAGCCAGAGTTACAAATCAGGCAGTGTGCCAGTGCACCTTGAGGAATGAAAATAGTTAAAATGCAGTGATAAGTATCAGCAGCCAATTCTTGCTCATAAAGTGAAACCCTTTAGCAGAGAGGTCATTTAAGCTGTCCAGAAAAAGCACACCCAGGAAAGAAATCCTTAGATCCATTTGCACCACTTAAAGATACCAGCTGGTCTCACTCACCTCACAAGATAGCCTAAGGAAATCATCCAGATTTAAGGAAAGGTCACATCCCCCCCCCAGAAAGGCAGTAAAAAAATCAGTGCCAAGCTTGCATCCTGCCTCTTGGAAGTATACCCCAAAAGGACAGTGCCAGATACCACTAAAGCACTAAATGAAGAAAGACCCTCCTCCCCAGATAGAAAAAGAAACCATGAGGCAGGAAAAAATTCAAACACAATACAAATAATTAAATCACAACAGTAGCTGTTGCTTGTTGAAGCTGAATAGAGAAAATTATCCCATCAGTAAACACAGGATTAAACCTTCACCAAAATTTAGACCAAAATTCAGAACGGGTATGTAAACTCATGTTTGAATGTCAATCTTTCTAGTTAACCTTGCTGAATGTCGCTCATCTTGGTTCTCTGTCATTAAAAGCTTCTTTCTGACAGTTCTGCTTCATTATTAATTATTTATTCAAAGTGCTGATTGTCCAGGGAAGTATTTCCTCCCAACAGCAGTGTAAAAAAATCTTAAAACAACCCTTCCCCTTTAAGAAAGCCAAGCCTCAGAAGCTCCGGAGACAGGAAGTCTAGGCATTCTGGCAAGAATGTAATAAGGGTGGAAAAAAACAAAAGGAGATTGCTTCTAACTACCGGTTCTCCAAACTGCTTAGAAAGTTAACAAGGGGTTCTATAGAACTGGTTAGAACCGGTAGAATCCCACCCCTGTTCTAGCTACTTCAAAAGAATACTTACCCCCTTACCAAATAAGAAATATCTGTCCAGTGTCGGCATCTGACAGTGCTATTTATTTGTCTTGTAGATGTATGTGCAGATAGACCTTGACTTAACAACAATTAATTTAGCAACCTTTTGAAGTTACACTGGCACTGAAAAAAGTGACTTACAACCAGTCCTCACACTTACAATTCTTGCAGCATCATATGATCATATGGTCATATGATCAAAATCTGGGTGCTTGGCAACCAGCACGAATTTATAAAAGTTGCAGCCTCCACGGGTCAGGTGATCATTGGGACTTCCTAGCCGGCTTCTGAGTAAAGCAAAGTCAATCAGGGCATTCAGATTCTCTTAATATATGATTCATTGCACCATTGCAGTAATTCACTTAACAAATTTAGCAAAAAAAAAAAAAGGTGAAAATCTGATGCCACTCACTTAACAACCACATGCTCAGCAAGGAAATTATGGCCCAAACTGTGGCCGTAAGACGAAGATTATCTATATTCTAATCTTATGCTGGACTTTATGACAACAGGCATAAACTGAGACATTACCTAAGCTACCATAGGTAGGTTTGTGGGGATGTTTCTCCTGATTAAGGTGCCAAAAATTCTGAAGTCCCTGCCCAAGAGTTCAGTTTTTCTGTAACT